CCTTACTGCTTGTATTCTAACTCATAGGATAGGATTAAATAACGTGATGGAGACTTCACTTTGTTATATCATTGAGGTTGGATGCCTAAACATCATTGCTGAATAAATAAGATGATTATTTATCTTGATGATTATATTGATGATGATTTATGATTTTTCTCAAAGGTGACGGGTATTTTCTACCTATTAATGAGTCTTACCTTACTGCTTGTATTCTAACTCATAGGATAGGATTAAATAACGTGATGGAGACTTCACTTTGTTATATCATTGAGGTTGGATGCCTAAACATCATTGCTGAATAAATAAGATGATTATTTATCTTNATAGTAATAATAATAATATACTTACGGAGCACCAACTAAAAGTTTGCTGATTTTCAATACAAATCTCTCAAAAGACGTTTGAACAGGTCGGTTAAAAGACACCAAATAAATAAAAATGGATCAAACTACTACAGCGCCATCTTCCTTAGAGTCTGAACTAAGTCCTCCGTCGGTAAAAATTTTTTATTTGCAATTTAAAATAGTGAAAATTAAATAAAACTAAAATGGGTAGACTCGCCCCTGTATGGGTAGACTCGCTCCGGTTTACGGTATTCTAAATTTAAAGGACCAGAAGGTCATAGTTACAGTCTTAAATTAATTTTATTTCGCAGACTGTTCATTAAATGTGATGTAATAAAAGTAAACAGTTATTAATTTGGTTGTTGTTTATAAAATTCTGCAGCCCGTATATCTCATTAATTGAAATCTATTAATTGTAATAAAACTGTATTTACTTTCAAAGTACATGATGCAATACCATGAAATAACTTGAGGTATTTAAAGCCATAATTCTTTATTAAATGGGCTGAACTGTACCATGGGGTCAGGAGAAAATTTCCTTTATCTACAGATCTATGTCTAAATTAGGGAAATGGTTTCACAAATAAGATCTCCTCTGCAGAGTGTCAAAATTGTGAAGAAATGTCTTTGGATCAGACTTAGGGATATTTCCCGTCACCAATAGCTCATTGTGCAGTTCTAGTGCAACGTAAATAAAATACCTATCTCTTTTGAACATAACTTAGTGTAATTTACTTAACATTGCATGTAATTTAATACTTTTAATTTAATTTAGTAAAAGTGTAGAAAATATGCCATTTATGATATTTTTTATCTTTTTATAGCAAGCAATATAATTATTTCATGAAGGGGATTTTTTTACACGATCTATTCTGTAACTTTCCTTACCAATAGCATCCTGTGCTATTGGTATTTTCAAATTTTTATTTAACTCATTTTGTTTGTTTTTATTACATTATTTCAAATACTAGAATTTAATACTAATTATTTTTATAATTTCTTGAAGAATTTTTTTCCAGCTTGTGTACTGTTGCTAAAAATTCAGTATACTTCGCCATTTAGAAAGAAATGCAGCTGACTATTATACATACATATTTTAATTTATTTAAAAAACTAAGAAGTTTGGATTTATTTAAATTATTAAACGCACATTGGTTCTTTATAAGCAATTCTTAAAGCCCTCATCAAAGCTAATATGAATGCGTAAATAATAGTTTTCTTTTTTAACTTTCTTTCCACTTTCTTTCTATTATCTCTCGTGTTAAAAGTTCAAAAATTGAAGAAGCAGTTTGAAAGCACTTCATAATACATGAAAGTAGATCAGTTTCACTTTTATTAAAAATGAAGTTATGACTTATTTCTAACCTTCTTATTAGACATTGCCATCTTTATTTTGAAATGAATACCAAACCGTTAAAAAACGGTAACTGTTTCTGCTAAATTTTAGGTTCTACAAATCAGACGAGATAAAAAAATGTCAGATTCTAATTTCTCAAAATGAGCAAACATATGAGTTGGATTTCAATTGAAATATGATTTTCTTATGTTCCATACATTTTGTAACTGAATACTATACAGCTAAATATGTCAAGTTGATCACCTGTCAATGTCAACTCCTATCAACAAGAGTAGAATTAACTTTACCCAATCTAAGTGAGAAAACCTTTGTTACTTGATCCCCAGTTTTAATAGCATGTTGACCGCATGAATTAAGTCAAATTTGTCTTGCACTGATACTGAATGCCATTTTGAACTCTAAGTTGACTGGAATAAAACCTTCACTAGGAAATGTTATATGTCATTAAGTTATGTATTAAAATTTCAGTGAATTGCTAAAATATAGGAAAAGATTATGAGCTTTTGTAGAAAGTGGTTAAGCATAACAACCAATTTCACACTTTTCAAACGAAAAAAAAAATTCGGCATGTATCAATTCAGACTATGCTCATTTCCTTTATAAAACCAATAAGTTATTTAATTAAGTGTATGTAACAAATTCTAATTCATTCTGTAATTAGCTCATAATGTCATTTCTCAAGATATTTAGAGTTTTTGATTTCTAAAATTTCAAGCTCACATGGAGTTAAAAAAAATTATCTTTATCTTTATTTTGAATAGTAATATAAATTGTGTGACTAACTTGCAAATATGATACCAAGCATGCTTGGGAACTAAACACTGGGGGTTCCGCGTTCGGCTGACCACCTGACCGGAGCATCTGCTCCTGCACCCCAGAGCCTAAGGTTAAGAAAGCTGAGATGGGCACAGTAGGCCTTGGCCCTCTGCGGGCTGTCGTGCCACTGAGTTTAGTTTAGTTTTAGAAAGAATAACATGATATGAGAAATGATAAAAACAAAAGAAAAAAAATATTCCTTTCTTATAAGTTGATCGTCTGTCTAAGTTGATCACTAAATCTGAGCTCCGGCTGAGCTTATGCAGAAAATTGATTATGATCAATTTACAGTCAGATTTGTTGTAATTATAAAGCTTTGATATGGAAGACTTTTATTCACTGAGTGGCCACTGTGCTTAGATCACTTGATAATTTTATGCACCTGTGCTTTCGTGTAAAAGTTTTGCCTCTAGAAGGCTAATTTAGAGCTTTTAATCTTTAGGGCATTCATTTGGGGCGCAATGGTACTCCCAATAAGTCATTATATCAGAACACCATTGTTGCGAATGTAAAATGATTATGGTTTATCTTGCTTTTTAGACTGTTGATTAATGATTTTTCTTAATGGTGATGGGTATTTTCAATCTGATAATGAGTCTTCTCTAATTGCTTGCATTCTAATTTATATGATTGGATTAAATAACGCGATGGAGACCCCATTTTGTTATTTCACTAAGGATGGATACCTAAACATCATTGCTACGAAAGTAAAATGATTATGATTTATCTTGATTTTTAGATTGATGATGATTTATGATTTTTCTCAATGGCGACGAGTATTTTCAACCAAATAATGAGTCTTACCTTACTGCTTGTATTCTAACTCATAGGATAGGATTAAATTACTTGATGGAGACTTCACTTTGTTATATCATTGAGGTTGGATACCTGAACATCATTGCTGAATAAATAAGATGATCATTTATCTTGATGATTATATTGTTGATGATTCAGGATTTATTTTCCAATGGTAACGGGTATTTTTAACTTGATAATGTGAGTCTTACCTTACTGCATGTGTTCTAACTTATAAGACTAGATTAAACAGCGTGAAGGAAATTTCATTCTGTTACGCTACACCCTATAATCTCTAGAGATTATCTTATTTTGCGTTTGTGGGAAAGCTGAAGGATCCGTTTAGCACGTACAAAATTCCAGTCCCTTATCAGAGCAAAGAGCTATGGCCATTACTGCAAGTGATCTGTCAATATATAGTTGAGTTCATGCCAAGAAGAATTAAGTCGACATTATAGGTAAGTTATGGCCAAACTAAAGGATCAGTGTTTAAATAAAATAATTTGAAAAAATTCGAATATTTTTACACTGATGAAACTTTATTTTAAATAAATATGATAGTTCCCATAATTTAATAATTTCCAAAACAAGAAGAAATTTTTTTGTACATATTTGCTTCAGGCATCCTATCAAAAAGTCCTTCAGTTCCTACCAAGGAAAATTATTGCGTTATTTAAAGTAAATATGCGGTCAAACTTAAGGTCAAATTTTAAATAAAATCGTTTAAAAAAATTTGCATGCTGTCTAACTGAATCTTTATTTTAAATAACTATCATAGGATAAATTTAAGGAAGACAGCCTTTGTTAAGAATGATATTTAAATGAGAGAAGAAACAAAAATGTCATAAATATCTGACAAATCTTCATCAAAGTCAGTTATATTAAAAACATCTATATTGCTTTGATTGTTGGGTAGAACTGGAAGGTGGTAAAAGAAGGAGAATTAGACAATGTTAGATGTCTACACAGGTCGATTTCTCATTTATTTGCGTGAGACAAAGATCGGGTAATCACAAAAAAAGAAAAAATATCAGGTAATGAATATGTGAAAAAAGTTTTTATTAAATGTTGAAAGTGATTTTAATGAGCAAAAAATTTCTATAATCTGACGAATCAACATCAAAGTCAATCATATCAAAAGCATATACTGCTGCACTGGTCGATTTCTAATTCAACATTGTTGAATGAGACATTGATCAAACTTTATTTAATGCTTAATCCTATTTTGAGAACAATTAAGTGATAGACATTGATAATGATTCGACAGATTTTTTTTATTTTTTACTTAAGGCTGGCGATTTATTGTGTAATATGCATATTTTTGCAAATATTCTAAAAACATGCATTAAGGGTAGAGATCGGGAAACTTCTTGTGTATATTGACATACGATAATATGCTCAATATGAATCCTTATGTACAGGCATATTATCTTATGACCTATAATAGTAACAATATAATCCCGGGAAAGACACGAATGTTCTTTCCTTCTCTGTACTACCTGTCCTCACTGTGAGAGCAACGTTGGCCCACCTAATATGGTGCCCCTGAAAGAGAGGATAACAAATCTGCCCTGTAAATGCCTGAATTGACGGATATTAACGCATGTAGGCATTGGAAAAAAAAATTTAACACTAGTTTTATTCATTTCTTTTTATAGTCAATTTCTAAATACAAAACATTTGAATTAAATGTCAATGTGTCTTTCTTATTTATTTTAACTAGGGTTAATCAGTATAAAAATGTTTCTAATTCTAACACTTAATTATAAACCGCTTAAAATGGTTGAAACTTACAATAGCAATAAAGTTTTAAAACCTGACTGTCAATGCACCATGATTGTGTGCCATACATGTTTATCCTACTAACACCAAAAACGATTGGAATTAAATTTTTCGCATCGTATCTAACGGTGCCCTCAATTATAGCACCACCAGGTTTTACTGATAATGTTACCATGTAATCACCTAGCAATGGTGGTGCTTCACCTATAACTAGAGTTTTATTTATGAGTTTGTCTTCTTCTTGCTCTAAATTCAGCACAATATCATTAGGAAGTCCCAAACGCGCATCTTTAATCACATCCAAACTTAGTTCTTCGCATTTATCTGTGTGATTTACTAAGAGTGAATTGACATGGGCAACGAGAGAAAGGGATACTATGTAAACTTCATCATTATCCTCAGATACCTTGTTGAAGTTATTACATGCGCAGTAGTGTTCCTGTATATGGGCATCTGCGCAGGTTCGATTTTCTGGAATTTCATTGAAAAGACTCAAACCTAACTCGTCATTTTCTTCAATTAATCCATCATTGATGTGAAGCAAATGTTTTAAAGTAGCATGAATATCAAACACATTGGTCAACCGATCTTGATTAATGGCAAGATTTCTTTCAAAATCTGGGTGTTGATCTAGAAACCACTTAGGAAAGTGGAGATACATGAATGGCATCCTTTCTTCAAATTTGCCAATGTATGTCTGTCTTATATCCCCATATCGAATCCCATGGTCACTGAAAAAGATAAAAGCACTGGAGTTCAGAGCTCCTTCCTCATCGAGGACTTTTAAAAGTTTTGCTGCAGGTGCATCAGCAAAACCAGCTGCATCAAAGAAATCATGTGTAAGAGTAGAAGTCATACAGAAAGCAAAATAAGGTCTTGTACCCATAGTTTTTATGAAATTTAGCAGATACGCATACATCAAATCAGTTTCCAATTCTGAATTGAGGCATGGTGAATTCGTTTCGAAGCCTTTTTTTCGAAGTTCCGATTGTTCGATTGCTAAAGCTAAGGGTCTGTAATAATAGTCAGCAGGAGGCTCAAGAAAGCCCCTTTTTATGAAGTTAAATGCCCCGTTATATGGGGCATCTTCTGCAAAGAATGTCCTATGCCCATATCGAGCATATTCCTTCCAGATAAAAGGCACATTATCAAAAAAATATGTATCTTTGATTGACTCATTCCAAAAATAATTTACAAAATGACCAGTAAACATTGGTACCAAGTTTGGGAAAGTATTGTCGCCAACTTTTGTAAAACCTTTCATATCAAACGCTTTCATCTGAAATTTAAGGTATGGTTTTGTTTGAAAGAATCGTCTCATGAAATTCAACTTTGATACAGAATCTATGCCAAGAATTATTACATTTAAAGGAGACGGAGATTTTATAACGGATTTCCGTTTTTCTACTTCGTCTTTGAGCTTCACTAAAGGCATATACTGCTCATGAGTGTTATTGTGCTTAAAGAAGCACTTAGTTATAAGATATTCATGTTCAATGGGTTCTCCAAATTTCAATTCTTGAACCGGGAGTGTATAGTAATCATCCTCTCTATTGTTCGTTGAGAGGTATGTTCGCATAATAGGCTGATACCAACAATTAATATCATCTAATGTACTATTGTAGTATTTTTCCAGTACTGAAACATTAAGATTAATAATTCCGTTAGGGCCTGGTGTCATGAATAATGGAGGGAAGGGGCAATTATAGGCGCCAAAGATTTGGATAAGGTTGGCGACGCTTGGATCCCAAGGGTTAAACTTAGGTATTTTGCATCCTGGAGTATCAATAATCAAAGCAGGGTTTTTGATAGTTTTTTGAATTTCTGAAATTGGCAATTTATCTTTTCCAACACTTTTGATTTTAGTGTATTCTTCAGATTCATTTTTTATGCGTAGAACTGTTGCTGTTTCTTCGGTTGGTAGTGAGCTGTTAATTTCAACAACAATTGATTCATTCTTGTCAACGAGTTTAAACCCAAAATATCCTTGAGGATCAGGAGTAGTAGCGAGAGATTTTGAATGAAAAATGGTTTTCTGATCAATTGCTATTTTAGGAACAGGGATTATCGAGTCGGGTCCAATTGGTGGATAAGTTCTTACATCATTAGCTCCAAACGTCTCAAAATCGGTCAATTCAAATGCATCTATACCGCTTTCAGGATTGCTGTCAACAGTCGTAGGATACACTTTTGGTTTCAATTCTGGATATCCTTGAGAATCTGGGTGTTGAGGTGGAATTGTGGGAGTGTTGAAAAAGAAAATGGTTTCTTGTCCTTCTAGTATTAAAGGAACAGGGTCTTTGGAATCAGGTTCCATGGGATGATAAGTTCTAGCTCGGGTAGTCCCGAAAGCTTCAAAATCATGATCAAAGCCATTTTCAGGATTATTTTCAACAAAAGTGTGGAACAATTCAGGTTTTTCTACAACCACCTCAATCTTTGGAATTGAAGTAGGAAAACCAGGATGCCAGTTGTCACGATTCAACTCTGACCGTTTCGGTTGCTGTAAGTGGGCTGTGTCATGACCAGTTTTAAGTAGCTCCTCCTCGTCCGTCAAAAAATAGTCATCATTGTTGAAGTCAAAAGTATAATCACCTGGCACAGCATTTTGATCTGAGAGTAAAGTATTTTCTTGCATATTTTTCAATTCTTTTTCACGTGATTTTTTAATGCTCTTTCCTATAATAATCAGATTGAATACGAAATAAATGAAGCAAATAATAACTATTAACAGCACAATACGTCGACGCTTCACATAAACAGCCATTAAATCTGTTGATGTGCAACCTGAAAAATAAATATTTATGATTCATTTATAAGATTAAGATTGTGATAAATAATTTTTGCTTTAACAAGAAATTGAAGCTATGTAATTTTAGTTAAAAAAATGTATATTCTTTCTTCCAATATTTTGTTTAAATTGATTTTTATTTGAATTCAAACATTAAATAAAATGTTTCATGTTCCTGTTCAAGCCACATTATTTCTTTGCATTAGAAAAGTTCATTAATGGCTAATCTAAGGTCTTGCGTTAACAGGAGCAGAAAAAAAAACATGAAAAACCATTAAAATTGCATGTATCTAGCTTTTGTCCACTGGGTGACGAGATGAGCAGTTAAATATAGGTCTTATTGAAGCTAAATAGTGGCTGGCTAAATTATATAAATCATATTAATCTGTATAAGCTCATTGTGGTTTAAGGGCTATAAAATATGGAGTAATCACTGTGAAATTTATATTCTTTCTTCCTATAATTTGTTTGTATTGATTTTTACTTAAATTCATTCATTACCAACTGATAGAATTTTTTTTATTTTTTTATTTATTTTTTTTTATTTATTTATTTCCAATGGCAGACATGAAAGACAAATTTGTAGCCAAGAACAATATAAAGAAAGAACAAAAAATGGAAACAAGAGCTACAAAAATAAAGAGTCTATAGGTCTGTAATAATGCATCTCGCCCGCCAATATCGTTCCCACAAGGGCCCAGGAGGAAGTGCAGGGCAATGTCTTAGATGGTTAGCGTCCATTTCTTCTTGTTGGTTACATAATGGACAAAGGGGGCTTGAAAAGATTTTAATTTTATACAGGTGTTTTGATAAACAGTCATGGCCAGTGGCGAGGCGAAAAAGGGCCACAGATTTTTCTCTTGGCCATGACGGAATATCTTTAATTCCTTCCAACCAGTCCTTATTTTTATTTGCTTCTTGGAGTTTTGCTTCAAATGTTGTTCGCAGAGAGATTTTTATTAGCCTTTTCGCGGTGTGGAAAGGAACTGGCTTAAGAGATATTTGTAGAATCTTGGCGGCTTTTTTGGCCAAGAAATCTGCAGTTTCGTTACCTTGAAGTCCACAATGCGCTGGTACCCATTGCATGGCGACATTTTTGTTGTGTTGGTCAAGCCTGTGAAGGGCTTGACGACAATGTAGAATGTCGGCAGATGCGGGGGCTTTGGAGGAAGCAATAGCTTGGAGTGCGGCTTTGGAGTCAGAGAGGATGACTACGTTATTAAATTTCTCAAGGTGATTCTGTAGTTGTGACAGAGCAACTGATAGAAATTTGATTCTCAGATTTGATTACATTGAGAAACAACTTTTCTGTTGCATTTATACTTCTCCTTGAACTTGTAAATTTCGAGTGGGAGAGTTTCAAAACTGAAATTAGTTTTGCTTCTAAATCTGTTTTTTAAATGACATTATTAGCCAATTTTTTTGTCGAAATGTATAAATTTAAAAAATAACGTTATATAAAACAGAAGCTTGCGTGATCGTTGCAATTAACTTCTAGGGGAGTTAAGCCCTTAAGGATCAGTTAATTTTCAGGAAAACGGTCATAAAAGTGCCTATTTTTTTCTCCCTGAAAATTGATTAGTGCTGACATCTAGTTTAAAATAAAGTAACTAGCTACAATTACCTTAAAAATATTCTGGTACTATCATCTGCTGTGTAAAATGAGAAATAAAATGTTTTGCGGGCCAAAGAAATGAATAAGTTTTAATTTTATTGTTTGTTACTACTGAACACTCCAGCCCAGAAATAACACGGGAGCGAGAAATAGAGGGCGAAACCTCACCCCGTCATTTTCACGGGAGCAAGAAGGAAGGGGTTAAAGCAGTAGTCCCCAACCTTTTTGTACCTAAGAGCAAATACCAGAATATTGGTCGAATGGCGGGCACCATTTATTTTTTCAAGATAAATTTATAGTTGGTAGACATAGGTAATATTACACACTACATATAGTGCACAAAAAAATTTAATTTTAAAAATTAATTTAACATTTGAATATAATTAGTATTTATTTTTTTGTGTAAAATAAATAATTACTAAATTGCTTTCAAAACATATGAAATATAAAAATTATTTATAAAATACAGTCAATGTGGTATTAGGCATGGCATTTCGCTGGCCAGCGCTAGATAATTGGGAGAATATAATGCTATTTTTAAGAATGGAATTTATTCCTTCAATCATATTCCAGAATTTCTATCTTCGATTCTTCTCGCTTTACTCGAAGAAATTCTGAAACGTATGTTGCTATTACGGTAACGTTTATTTGGTTGGTAAAAGGATTAACAAAAAAGTTATCAAAGGCTCGATGATATTAAATTGTTGAAAGAGCTTTTTAAATTGATCTTTAAACAATTGGAGGTTGATGACAAATGTTAATAAGTCAATTTCACTGTCACCTAACATTTTTTTCATGTTTGGAAAATGCACAAGAGACTTCATTTTCAAATGTGATATCCACAAAACTAGCTTAGCTCTGAACGAGTTTATAGCCTTTATCATTTTT